TGAGTCGAGGGGTGAGGCCCTAGGCAGGGGAGATCCCTGCATTAGATCTCAGTCTCTGTCTCCTAAGACCCCCACGGGCAAGGGATTGGAGGGTTAATTTTGGTAAAAATAGTGGAAAGTTCAAGGAATAAAAGTCTTTTCTGATTTTGTCTTTAATTTCTTAAAATTAACAATCTTGCATTTGTTCTTCATACCTTTTAAGTTTATGATCTGTTAAAAATATCAAATATATTTTGTATACGACTGATAAAAAAGTTATTTTTTATTTTATGAAATCTCTCTGTTCTTAGTTTATTATTGTGGAAGTTCAATTTCCTTAAAATGTTTAATGACTTACAAGAAACTGAAAATGTGTCATTTAGTTAAATAACAACTTAAGTCATTATTTTCATCAAATCTTGCTACTGTTTGTCTTCGTAAATACAATAAACATTTCATGAAATATTGCAATAAGCACTTATTGGTCAACTAAAATTGATGTATGAAGAAAATATTACACAAAACATTTTTTTTCTTTATTGCAAATACATAAAAAAAACTTCAGCACTAAAGAAAAAGACAAATAACTTAGCATTTCTTTAACAATCTGGAGTTTCGTTTGAATGAATATAAAAAATAAGTAAACATACGACATATGCTGTTTCCTGTAGTCAGAATTCCACCAAATACACTGTCTTGACAACAGACACGACACACATACCGGTTTTTATGTATTAATGCCTGCATTTATAAATACAAGCAAGAGTACAACAATGTATATATACACAGATTATAAAATATTTAAACATACTTAATCACATAATAAATTAATACAGTTTTCAAAGTGCTAAATAACAACTGATCATTTGTCAACTGTTGATAAAGCACTGGTTATAAGGTCAGTACTTTAGTAGTAACTAGTGGAAAAAAACACATTAATGTATAATCTGGTCCACAAAGTATTACGAAGTATGATAGGAATGGTGCCAATGAATACCAATAGTGATCACATGGGTGCTTAACTGGGAGGATTACCAACAAAACAAATTTTGTTATCACTTCAATAACTGTTGTCTGGATTTCACTCATGGAAGATACAGTCATATGATTATGACCTAATATGCCATTCCTTTCAACTATGCTTTCACACATGTCAATGATTCTGTTTGTTTAGTGAAGAGGCCTTTGAACCGTAAGTTCACCACACTACTACTGAAACAGTCCAAAAGTCATAGCTTGTGTTGCGCTTTCTCTTTTTTGCAAAGATGTGTAATGGAAGAAAATGCAACTGAAATCTTGAAAGTTCAGGTTTTAGGAACATCTTGAGGTTTTTGTAAAAAGCAGTGGCAGCTGCCTCATATGGAAAAAATCTTCAAAAATAATTAAAATAATGATCAATCATTATTCCATGTTATAGGTAAGAACACTATCTTTTCTTGGATAAATAAAAAAAAGAATATCACTTTCAACTTCACCCTGGGATGTGGTACAGTAGGTAATGCCATAACAATAAATATGAACAGATTTTATCATTATTATCATTATTTTTTAATATCTCTGGCCATGGCTGAAATTTCCATTTTGTTGAGTGTTGTTGTAGCTCATCATCCCACCCTGTTGGACATGGCCTGGATGTTGCTGCAAGTATAAAAGTCAAAGATGAATATTACAGTTAGAAGAATAAGAAGAAAAAAATCTCAAGGTTAAAGACCAATCTGCATACTTCAGAGTAATCAAAATATATCCTGCTTATCCACCTGACTAGGATGATTGCGCTGAATGTGAGAAAAATTCTGCTGGCCACCCATACTGCCCTGGTGATGACCAAGTCTAACTCTTTTAGCTGCAGGCTCACCACCACCACCACCCTGTCGGAGAAAAGGTTTGATGTTAAAACATATCCTACTCTTTACAGACAGGTCAGATATGTACATAACAGAGAGGGAGAGGGAGAGAGAGAGTGAGAGAGTGAGAGTGTGAGAGAG